CCTCCGACCCCCCACCCCCCCCCCCCCCCCCCCTTGTGACCCGCCGAGATGCCACCTGAGGCAACAGGCTACCTCATCTTTGGTCTGGTCTGATGCATATGCAGCAGTAAAAAACATCGTCCCATCCATGTAAATGGAAGAACACACAGAGCATTGATAGCATAGGGGGGAGTAACAGCACTGGCCACAAATGTCTGGCAGAAAATTAGATCCCGACTGAACATTATGGGAGACAACCCCTCATTCTTGGTCTGCTATTCATTGTATGTTATTCATTTAACTCAAATTAAACTTATAATTTACTGCTCCATGAATAGCATCCAAAAAAATAAGGGGTTGTCTGTACCCCAAAATGTTGGGTTAAGGCCTCTTTTTCTGCATGACAATGATGGTCACTGCTGTTACTCTTTATGCTATTGATGCTCTGCATTGACTTGGATAGGACATGTTATTTAAGAAACTTGCTGTACTCCAGCTGTTGTGGAACTACAAGTGCCATGAGGCATTGCAAGACTCTGGCAGCTACAGGTATGACTCCCAGAGGGAGAGACATGATAGGATATGAAGTGACCTGCCCCTGCATTAGACCACATGGTGTCTGTCTTGTGTCCATTGTACTGTACTTTGCCTTTTGATACAAGTTACTTTTTGCAACCTGTGCTTATTAGTGTGCAGACTTTCTTTCTTATATGAGGTGTATGATGTTAAGGGGTAGTGGGTTGGCCCCACTAGTACCTATTATTATACTCTCTATATTCCTCCTCAGTTTTGTGGAGGTGGGCAGGATACAGTTTCGAATTGCCTAGGGAGAGGAGAGGCACACATACCAGCGTGCTGCACATTCTCATTATTACAAGTTGTGAAGCCGTTTAACTTCCAGACACGTAATCATTTGATATCACCATCATTTCTATAAAGGAATTATACATACACGATGACTGACAGCACAGTGATTTAAGAAAAAAAATTGTCAAAAAGATCATGTGATTCTCCGGCTAGGTTCACACCTATACACTGGGGTGCGTTATTTCTACATGCATTAACATGGGTTGCATTGAATGGGCTTACAACACACTGCAACAACCAAGAAATCGGATCTGCGATCTTTTCTGGCTGCTCACTGCACACCAACGTATGCCAGTGTGTTACTGTGCATTGCACTATGCTGTCGTTGACAAAGTGCACTGGGATGCCATTCACAATAAATGGCACCACATCAATGTGTGTACCACGCGTTGCCAGGCATTGTGGTAAGGTAACAATATGAGCCAGAAATGAAGTTGATCGAATCAGCGCAGTCTTGTTTTGTCAGATGGTTATTTTAAATGAAATGGTAATTTTAAAGGATTTAATCTGTGACCAATTTATCATGACATGTTTGGCCATCATTGGGCCTCATGCACACCATGTGCGTTTGGAGCTGATTTCTAAATGCACTGAACTCATGTAATGCTTTTCTATGACTGAACTGCATTCAGTCTAGAATCGTTTACCCAAACGAGGATTTTCTGCATTCCGGGTCCGTTTAGCTAAACGCACATAAACGTGTATAAAGGTGGCTAAGCCTTGGCAACACCTAAACATGGGGAAAAGTGAACTTGGAAGCATAAAGTTACCAGATGGCCAGCTAGTGTGCATGAGGCCTTTCAGGTTACTATAGGGGACTTGGTTAAACCATAGTAGTAAGTACTGTAATTTCATTTCTTGTTTGCAACTGTCAAGAGTGGGAATTCTTCTTGAAGATGGTGGAAGAGTGAGTCCAGATATGCATGTCTGCCGCACATGTGCTGTTGTAAAGCAATAGTGACAGGCCAGCACACACTGCCTTTGGTATAGGACAGTGGTTGTCGGCTTACAAGGACTTGGGGGCATTAGCAGCAGCCCCCGCACCCCCAAGGGGCCGCACATAATATCTAGTGTATGTAATGTTACAGATTATTTCAGGTTGAAGACTGGATACATACTGCAGGAGACAGAGATAGGGAGCATTACATGAGACTCCTAGAGATTACTGCTGTTACAGCTACAATACAGTTCAATGTTCCCACTATTGACACACACCAAGTACTAAAGGTCTGCAAATAGCTTGAAGACTGCAGTTTGGGCACCAGGGGTATAGGGGAATAAAACATCCATTCTGCTCCAGTTTGCAGCTTGGAGTTTTCATGTGTTTAGAATCATTCCAGTTCCACTATTCTGCATCTGATCCTGTCCATGCACATGAGAAAATGTTACTCTTCTCAGATCCATTCACTGACAGCTCAAGCCGTAATTGATTGTTGAAAATAAACTCTTGTTGAAAAGAAACCATCTCTCTAAATGTTCTTCATTTGTTTGCTTATAACATTGAAGTACACATGTACTTCCTATGCAGGCCTCCATCACACCATCTCTCCAAATGTTCATTCATTCATTGGCTTATAACATTAAATTACACATGTACTTCCTATGCAGGCCTTCATCACACCATCTCTCCAAATGTTCATTCATTCATTGGCTTATAACATTGATTTACACATGTACTTCCTATGCAGGCCTCCATCATACCATCTCTCCACATGTTCATTCATTCATGTGCTTATAACATTGAATTACACATGTACTTCCTATGCAGGCCTCCATCATACCATCTCTCCACATGTGCGTTCATTCATTCATTGGCTTATAACATTTAATTACTCATGTACTTCCTATGCAGGTCTCCATCACACCATCTGTCCAAATGTTCATTCATTCATTGGCTTATAACATTGAATTACTCATGTACTTCCTATGCAGGCCTCCATCATACCATCTCTCCACATGTTCATTCATTCATGTGCTTGGTGACTGTAACATGCTTTATGCCGCGTTCGCTTTGATATTGTAAAATACAAGCACACCACTTTTATTGATGATCAATCTTGTCATATAGTTTGCTAGTCCAACACTATTCTAGAATAAAACATGATTACCCTGATATTTGTGTGTGAGGTGAAACCTAAACTGAAGGAGATTACGCCCAGCATAGCGTACAGCAGATTTCCGATGTGCAGCTGCGTTCTCTGCTCCTAATTACAGGCATGCTGAAACATGATCCCTACACATTGTCCACGTCCCCACATCTGCCTGGGATTTTCGGCTACAGATAGCGTGGACAAGGAGAGAATGGCTTTTGCAGAGGCAGATTGAAGTTCTTATAGGTCAGCGCTGTCCAAATATTTGATATGATTTGATGGAGTAATAAAGGACATTGTGAGGTGCCAGATGCTGTAAAACAGCTGTATAAATGTCTATTAATGGCACAGTCAGTACTCATAGGGAAATACAGTCCATCTGTCCCAGCACTCCACTAGAATGATTTACACTTGGAAATTCACAAGGACTAAACAGACCAGAGATTATCTAGCAGCAGAGTGTGAGTTTAACATGTCTTCTAGAAAAGACACAGAAAGGAATGTATTAATACTGGAGCAGGCAGAATCTGGAGCAGCTGTGCGTGGCAACCAATCAGCTTCTATCTTTCATTTTCAAATCTTAACTGAACAAACTGAAGAGAGAAGATGATTGGTTGCCATGCACAGCTGCTCCAGATTTTGTTTGCTCCAGTTTTGATCAATTCCCACCACACAGTTCTAATAGCACAAGTAGATTCCTGTGTACCACAATCTAGAGCTGCAGCTAACGATTATTTTCAAAATCGATTAGTTAGCCGATTATTACGTTCGATTAATCGGATAAAAAATAAAATACATTTTAAAAAATGGCTCCAGTGATGGAACGACTAGTTTGTATTGAGATTGCAGTCCATCACAGGAGCAAGCTTGGAGCGGTGGAAGTAAAAAAGAAAAAGTGTGGTGTGCAATATAGTGAAATGAAAAGTGTAAAATTATACAGCAATGAATGCAGAATGGCACCGGCTATAGAG